TATTATTTTTCCTTAATGTTATATATATTTTCCACATAAAGAAAACTGTAGCACTAGTGGTTTTGGCAAATTTTCAGACAAATGATCAAACTTCTATTATTGTATTCGATAATATTATGTAATCTTTGAAAAAAAAAGTAAATAGGAAAATACCAATTATAGAAAATAAAATTTTAAAACTAGATTACATTACATAACACATCATACTAACCTTCGGTGTTGACTGGTTCTCTTGTATACGAAGTTTTTATGGATAGTATTGGTTGTTGGCATTTGATAACAATTATAAAAAATGTTATCAATCGGTTTGTATCGCTTTTTCTCCCTCAAAACTAAAAGCTCTTTCCCACTAACGTTTATGGTTGCGGACGATTGCAGCTGAACAATTAAAAATTAAAAATTAAAAAATAATAAAAAATATTTAAAATCAAAATATATATAACATTTTTTCCTAAAATAAATTTTAAATATTATAGTTACAAAATATATAAATAAATTTGATACTTTTGTAGTAATATTAGTTTTTTATGGTCTTAAATTGATATTCATTAACAATTAATCATAATTTTATATTTATAAGATATTTAAACAAAAAGAATTAGATAAATTTTCTCTCTACCACTAATTATTATATATATCTAACAACTAAAATTATTCTAATATTTAAATAATCATAATTTTCATCTAAACTAAAAAAAATTAAGAAATAAACAAAAATATTATGCATATAATATTTTATTATTTTATTATTAATTATATTGAATTTATAGTTTTGTAATTTCCCATAATTTTTTGTTGTTTTTACAATTATATAATATATTTATATTGTTATTTTGTTGTGTAATCACTTTTGGACCTGCTGGCCAACCAGTAAAAATGTTCCGCAAATACACCCGCTCTCAATCACTATGGTGTTGATTGGTTCTCCCGCTAACACTCGGAAACACAGTTTTTTGCGGATGATAGTAGTTGTTGGCGTTTGACAACAATCATGAAAAACGCTTTCGACCGTTTTGTACCACATTTTCTTCCTCAAAATCAAAAGCTTCTTTCACTAGCGTTTGCAGTTGCGGACGGTTGCAGCTGGAAAAAAATTAGAAAAACATAAAATTAATTAAAATCAAGATATAGCTAATATTTTTTTCTTTGAAAAAAAGTTTGAATATTATAATTACAAAATATATGAAATATTTTGATACTTTTTGAATTAATATTAATTAATTTTCTTATAGTATAGAATTAATATTCATTAATTATTCATCATAATTTTATATATAATATATATAATTTTTAATCCAAATATAATTAGATAAATTTATTTTTACCAAAAAGTATATATATATATATACACATATCTAATAACTAAAATTATTTTGAAATTACTCTAATATTCACAAAACATATTTTTTTCTACAAAATCAGAATTAAATATTATGCATTTAATATTTATATAGTTTTTATTGTTAATTATATCTAAAGTAATAATTTTCTATTTTCTCATGTTAATATATTTTTGATGTTTTTAATTATATAATATATTTATTTTGTTATTTTGTTGTGTAAGTGCATCCACACCTATTCTTACTATACCAGTTGTACAAACAGATGATTAACATTGTTAACCGCAACCGTCTGCTTTCCCACTAATTATTATATATATCTAACAGCTAAAATTATTCTAATATTTAAAAAATCATAATTTTCATCTAAACTAAAACAAATTAAGAAATAAACGAAAATATTATGCATATAATATTTTATTATTTTATTATTAATTATATTGAATTTATAGTTTTGTAATTTCCCATAATTTTTTGTTGTTTTTACAATTATATAATATATTTATATTGTTATTTTGTTGTGTAATCACTTTTCGACCTGCTGGCCAACCAGTAAAAATGTTCCGCAAATACACCCGCTCTCAATCACTATGGTGTTGATTGGTTCTCCCGCTAACACTCGGAAACACAGTTTTTTGCAGGTGATAGTAGTTGTTGGCATTTGACAACAATCATGAAAAATGCTTTCGATCGTTTTGTACCACATTTTCTTCCTCAAAATCAAAAGCTTCTTTCACTAGCGTTTGCAGTTGCGGACGGTTGCAGCTGGAAAAAAATTAAAAAAATATAAAATTAATTAAAATCAAGATATAGATAATATTTTTTTCTTTGAAAAAAAGTTTGAATATTATAATTACAAAATATATGAAATATTTTGATAATTATTAAATTAATATTAATTAATTTTCTTATAGTATAGAATTAATATTCATTAATTATTCATCATAATTTTATATATAATATATATAATTTTTAATCCAAAGATAATTAGATAAATTTATTTTTACCAAAAAGTATATATATATATATACACATATCTAATAACTAAAATTATTTTGAAATTACTTTAATATTCACAAAAAATATTTTTTTCTACAAAATCATAATTAAATATTATGCATTTAATATTTATAGAGTTTTTATTATTAATTATATCTAAAGTAATAATTTTCTATTTTTTCATGATAATATATTTTTGATGTTTTTAATTATATAATATATTTATTTTGTTATTTTGTTTTGTAAACCAGTTGTACAAACAGATGATTAACATTGTTAACCGCAACCGCCTGCTTTCCCAACTCTCGCATCCGCAACCGTAATTACTCTGTTTAAACCAATATTACAAATCGCTGATTAATACTATTTATCGCAACCGCTTGCTTCCGCAAACTTGTGTTGCTGCAACCGCTATGTTTATTGATATATGTACACCACAATTTATTTTAAAAAAAATTTACTAAAATATCAAAAATACATATATATAACTGACATTAAAAATCATAACTAAAGTTAAAAACTTAATCAAACTAAATACTTGAAATTTGATAATAAAATAATATTATATTTCCAAACAAAAAGTCGTAGTCAAATAGCACAATAATGTTATTTATTGTTCACGTTCTTATTATTATATTTCCAAACAAAAAGTCGTAGTCAAATCTAGCACAATTATATTTCCAAACTAAATATTTATAATACGCGTTCTTATTATTATCTTACCTAAATAAATAATATAATGCTTTGAATCATATTTTACAATACGTTTATAAAACCGAAAAAAATATCTCATTATAGGATACTGAAACTATTTTTTTATTTTTAAATATTACTTGTATTTTTAAATTTTTCGAAGTAACATGTTATTTCATTTTTCTAATAATTTATTATATAATTCTACTTGATTTTTGTTTAGTGATTTTTGATTCTAATTTTAATACTTTAAGTTTTTACTATCCATACATTAGAACAACCCTTAAAATTTCTGAAAGATATGCATCAATATCCCTCACTTTTACCAAAAACATATGTTTATGGTTCTGCTTTGACATATCCTCTAAAACAAGCAGTATTTGCCACACAAAAAAATGTTACAATCATGAAATAAATGTTTAAGAATCACTTAATTGGAATTATTTTCATATATTTTTCTATTTATAATTTTGCTTTACTTACTCATTGTTTGAATATCAATTTTCATGATAATGATTATAAAACTAAAATTCTTGTCGTTTTATCTTAATCAAAATTATTTAATGCATTAAGTGAATAATTAAAAAGAAAGTTTATAAAGTCATATGACTAGTCTCATTCTTTGCATAACTGATTTGTTTTTTAATCTGTTGAGAATATTTTTTAAAACCTACGACTATGCCAGCGAAACCATTTATGGGATACTGTATACGAGCTTCCGTCTAGTAGCATATAGCGTTGACAGCATTTTTACGTTATGCATTTTACTCAAAATCTGATAATTTGAACATGTTCAAAGAGTTTTCATCGATCAAATCTGATAATTTGAACATGTTCAAAGAATTTTTGGAGCTGGAAATGTTTTTCAGATTCTAAGTAAATTTCCCCTTTCATAATATGAAATTGCTGTTATGTCTCTCTGCTACGAGTCAAAAGCTCATATATAAGATCCCATATATTAGCCCTACCATATATGGTTCGCTGGCAAGTTCGAAGGTTTTAAAATCTTCTCAACAGATTAAAAATGCAAATTGATTACACAAAAAAACGAGATCATGACCCATATAACTTGATAAATTGCTGCCATTTTCTAATCTTATATGCCTGATAATCTTCTGATTACACAATTCTTCTGATTTTAAATGAGGTTCAAAATATTTAACTTGCGTTGGTTTGACTTCATTTTTATGTGATTATCATTAAGGTGTTGACTGGTTCTACTGCTAACATCCGCAAACGTAGCTTTTGCGGTTAATAGCGGTTGTTACCGTTTAACCTTCACTTACCTAGTGTTTGATAATAGCGTATTAATCTATTAGCTAACCCTTCTGACATATCTGCAAAAAATGTTTTTCTACATTTATAAAGCATATCGAACATCCAAGAAAATTAATATATAGTTTCTCTTCATATTCACAACATACATTTGTCATTGTCACTGTTCCTCTCTGCAAACTAACCAAACCAATTCTTTCACTTGATTGCAAAGTTTTTACTTTTTAGTTTTAAAGTCCAAACATAGGATTGTAGATACTTATTGGGCCAAAAAATCAGGCTTGTAAAGTTTAAGATAGCCCATAAGGCCCGATAATAAAATTTTCAGCCGAAATATGCTTTCCCGGACTTATCTCGCTCGCCGACGCCGTCGACGATAAACCCTAACCGCCATATCTCTATTAGCCGTATCATCATGACGTCATCATCTTCTTCAACAAAACCAAGTTCCCAAGTCCACTCTCAGAAAAAGGATTACAAAAAACAAAAAAACACTCCTTTCATGAACAACTTGACTTTCTTCACCAATTTATGACTTCCTCTCGCCGTCTTCTCCCTCTCGGAGCATCGCTCACTGTAAATCTCTCTCTCTCTCCCCAAATATTCATCATTTCTTATTTTGGTAATTTATCACCGATTGATGATGGATCTCGTTGCAGAGAGGGAGATTTTCATCCTTTCATCAAACCCAAAATGGTGAGTCCTCTTTCGAATGCTTTAACTTCTGTCTCGAATCGTGAGGTGAAATTTAAGATCGTTTCGAAAATCTCAGGGTTCATAAGAGGTTTCCGAGGATTCGGGACCGTTACTTTGACGGAGCCGGCGCTGGCTAATCTCGCGGAGAAATGCGCCGCCGCGATTCCGGAATGTTCTACAGTGGAAGACGAGATCGCGAAGATCCGTCGCGAGTTCGAGCTGGCGAAACAGAGGTTTATCAACATCCCTGAAGCGCTCAATAGTATGCCAAAGATGAATCCTCAAGGTTTGCCATTTGAATCACGCAACTTTCTGGGTTTTTCTTTTTGTTTTGTTTGTGTTGGTTCTTTGTCACTGATTGATTCATACTTTTGTTAGGGATATATGTTAATAAGAATCTGAGGTTGGATAACATACAAGTCTACGGATTTGACTATGATTACACATTAGCACATTACTCCTCTGACTTGCAGAGCTTGATCTATGATCTTGCCAAGCAGCATATGGTCAACGAGGTACTCTAATCTGTTTGAACATCTTGTAATATACTAAGTTTAGGTTTAGCGGTTTTGAGTAATGGTTTGAGAAGTGTTGGCTCTTCATTCTTGTTTGCAGTTTAGATATCCTGAAGGTTGTATGAAGTTTACGTATGATCCTACTTTCCCTATCCGAGGTCTGTACTACGATAAACAGAAAGGATGCCTCATGAAATTGGATTTCTTTGGTTCGATTGAGCCAGACGGATGTTATTTTGGTCGTCGTAAGGTATTGTTGATAACCAATTTTGTATCTTCTTTGTCCTTCTGGGATTGAGTGATTTGATCCCTCTAAGCATATCTTGTATTGTGCAGCTTAGTAGGAAGGAGCTAGAGAATATGTATGGAACGCGACACATAGGTCGTGATCAAGCGAGAGGTCTTGTGGGATTGATGGATTTCTTCTGTTTCAGCGAGGTTAGTTTCATCTGTACAAAGGAACCGTGATATATAGTCATATCTGATTCATTTGATCACAACTTTTCTTTTTAAAAGGCCTGTCTTATAGCAGACATGGTCCAGTACTTTGTCGACGCCAAGCTTGAGTTTGATGCCTCTTACATCTACAATGATGTGAATCGCGCGATTCAACATGTCCATAGAAGCGGTTTGGTCCATAGAGGGATTCTTGCTGATCCTACCAGATATTTGCTTAAAAATGCAAGTGTTATTATTCCTTAAACTTGCTCTTTAATAATTAGGAATGCGTTTACTTCTGATTTGTAATATCTGAACATCCTGTTACTTCTCAATCTCAGGGTCAGCTACTACGTTTCCTGAGAATGCTGAAAGATAAAGGGAAGAAGCTTTTCTTGCTGACCAACTCTCCGTACCATTTTGTCGATGGCGGAATGCGTTATCTTATGGAGGTGATGATGATTTTGAACATTCTTTGATTGTACCTTTTTCTTTTTCCCTGAAGTTGATTGTGATCTCTAATTATCTATCTGTTTATGCTTGTTGGTTCATTAGGACTCTTTTGGCCTCAGAGACTCATGGCGGGACCTTTTCGATGTCGTCATTGCTAAAGCAAACAAACCAGAGTTTTACACATCAGAGCACCCTTTCCGGTCTGTGTTCTCTACTCCTGAATCCTCCTCTTTCGTCCTTACAGTAATTTAAAATATGTTCTGAAGCGATTCTTATGCTATAGTTGCTATGATGAGGAGAGGGATACTTTGGCGTTTACTAAAGTGGATGCGTTTCACCCAAATAAAGTTTACTACCATGGCTGTCTTAAATCCTTCCTTCAAATCACAAAGTGGCATGGCCCTGAGGTACTCCTTAGTCACAACAAGCTGACATAAATTCCATTTGTAACTCAATGCTTCTGAATGCATCTAAATGCAATATACTCTGTTCATAGGTTATTTATTTCGGAGATCACTTATTTAGTGACCTAAGAGGGCCTTCAAAAGCCGGTTGGAGAACTGCTGCCATAATTCATGAGCTTGAGGTTAGTTAACCATACTTGATAGATATCGTTTTAGCTGATTGTGTTCTCCAAGTGAGTTTGTGGCCAAGCCTTATATGCTGAGTTCTCTTTATGACTGTTTCTTGGTTCAGCGAGAGATAAAGATTCAGAATGAAGATAGCTACCGGTTTGAGCAGGTAAAGCCACAGCTTCTTTTTTTACTTTTCAAGAATGGCTTTCTGCTTATAGGACTTAAAGCAGAGACGTGTGTGTGTGTGTGTGTTAGTCTAATAAGACCATTTCTTCTGTTTTAAAATCAGGCGAAATTCCATATTATCCAAGAACTGCTCGGTAGATTTCACGCGACTGTATCAGACAATCAGAAAAGCGAAGCGTGCCAATCTCTATTGGATGAGCTGAACAAGGCGAGACAGAGAGCTCGAGACACGATGAAACAAATGTTCAACAGATCGTTCGGAGCTACGTTTGTCACAGACACTGGTCAAGAATCAGCGTTCTCTTATCACATCCACCAATACGCAGATGTTTACACCAGCAAGCCTGAGAACTTTCTCTTCTACCGACCTGAAGCCTGGCTTCACGTGCCTTACGACATCAAGATCATGCCACATCATGTCAAGGTACAGACCCAAGACTTGTTAAGTTTTCGGAATCAAAGAGCTTCACCAAAACTTATATGTGCTTTTTGATTGAACCCGATTCTTTCAGGTTGCTTCAAACCTTTTCAAAACCTGAGATGGTGTTTCGTTCCCTTTAAGAACAGATACAGTTCGATGAAGAAATCGGATGAACTTTTGATCGAAAAAGAATTCAGCTTTTTAGGTTTTTTGCGATTGCCTGTGACAACAAGTAGGTTTGCAATATTCTCAAATTCTTGCTGATGATTCTTTTGGGTAAAAATGGATGTTAGATCATTCGTTTCATAACTTTAAAGTGGCTAACACTTGGAAATAATAAAAGTTCTAATAAGTAAGGAATCTATTTCTTGTGATTTATTTATATCACTATTTTGTACCATTTAATGAAATTTCTAAAAGCATTTAATCTTCTTTGTTTGATTTTCTAAAATATACCATTCGTAAACTCGAACCACCAGCTAAAGAAGATGCTTGCTTCTAGGGCACGGAATGTAGAGCCTGATTATAGTATGAAAACTGTGTTGCAGTGTGCTAAAAAAAAAATCTCAGGAACGTCTGGACAAAAGTTGGGAAGAAATCAAACAAGAACTCGAACAAGACACTCTTTGAACATTGAGAAAAATTCAAGTCAACTCCGTTAGATTTAAAAGTACATCAAATTTTAATCCTTTTTGTCGAAGAGGTGAGAGCGTATCTTTTTCTGTCGAGTTTGATGATTTGTTTTTGTCTGAGAAAGAGGGTTAATAAATTTGATCTTTCTTCACTTTAAAAAAAATTATAAAATCTACCAAAGATGAATAACATAGAGAAAATTACAAAATAGAGTACTTCTGTAATTACAAAATAAGGTACTTCATACAATAAGAGTACTTTTACTTGTATTTGGTTATCTCTTGATTATGTTGTTTTACCAATATGCTCTTACTATCATTTGAGAGTGAAATTGAGTTTTAAGAGTAAAATTAATTGACGAAGGTGGGTCGTGTTTTTTCAGATTGACTATTGAACAGCCGATTGTAAATGCCGCTGCCATGTGTTTTCCTTCTAGTCCATAGCCATGGTTGTCGTGACATGTGCATTGCCGGCCACAAATGTTGCCAATAACTTCAGTGGTGTTAAGTTGATAGTAATTGTTGGCAACACTGATGATTTCACCAAGTTTATTCTATAAAATAGAAGATTCCACTATAAAATGGTGTTTGACTCGGCGGTGCATCAAACTTGCGAAGAAACAAATGTTAAAGATGTGTGGGCCTATCTGGTGGACATGTAGCTGTTGGCGACATTCATAATTTCACCTAATTGATTTCATCGGATAGAAAATCCCATTGTAAAATGACTCGCCAGCGATTTCAAACATGCCACTGTGCATAACTTGCAAAACGGAGTGTGTGGACTACACCACGTGGATACTAGAATTACTCTATAAAACCTTCTTTATATATCCAATTGCAAACTTTGCCGTCCACATGTACGTTACTGACATATTGTAATAATGGACATTGCTGTTCATGTGGATGGATAGTCATAGTACACTTCCCATGGACAGATATATCATATTGAACCTCTAATTGATACAAATTTTATGGATGAAGCATGTACCACACTAAAATGTGGTTTGAGATGGTTGCATGGCTTTAGAGTGTTTAATGTTCCGATGGATGGAAACTGTGAATCTGCTAGAGTGCTCAATATTCTCCGTCCATAATCACACAACCACCTTAAAATGGATGGCATGTTGATGGATGGCTATGCGTGGCTGTTTTTCTTACTTTCTTTCAATTAACATCCATAACAATACATCCACACAGAATTTAACCGTAGTTCTATTGTTTTTTTATGGATAATAATATGTGGATGGATGATAATATATAAAATACATCCACACATAATTGAAATGCAGTTATTGTTTTACGATAGATGATATTATGTGGATGTCCATTGAGCTTGTCAAAGCGTAGTTACTTAGAATCGTTAAAATGTTTATATACAAGATGTAGAGATTATACATATACCTTATGAACATCTAAAATTAGCCACACATGGATTTTTACTCACCAGATTTTGCCTGATCTGATTGCTCCAATTTCGTTTTCGGTTTGTTCACCGTTCTCTCTATTAACGGTCATCAATAACAAAATTCATAGGTGATTCCTAGATGAGAATCGATAAATATTTTACAAATGGGGTTGGTGATATCATTGACAGATTAGCGGATGTGCAAATATTTCTCAGCAGAAATTTCTAGGCAGCTAGGGTATCTGAAAATGTACAAAAAAAAAAGCTTTTTTAGAATGTAAAATAATTGATAAGTGAAACAGTTAAAAAATAAAAATAAGAGATAAGATTAGGCAAAGGGCATAAAAGTCTTTTCCTGCTATCAAAGTACTCAGGTTGGTGTAAGTGCCTTTTCCGGAAAAAGGTTTGGCCAAAATGCTTTATTTTGTAATTGACTCAATAACATAAGACTCTAGTTGTTGTATTCAAATTTTTAATTAAATAATCATTTTAATAAAGAAATTGTAAAAGAGTTATTTCGCCAAGTGCCTTAATAAAAAAAGATAAGTTTCCTAAAAAAATGAATAATAGTAGATTTTCAGAAAAAAAATATTATTCAATCAATTTTAAAGAAAATACAAAATTTAGAACCCTCAATTTTAATTTAAAAAAATTAAATTAATCACTGAGCAATAATCATATCTATTTCTATTACTAATAAAAGTTGATGATAAATGTCTCTAATGATGTCCACATATGATTTAAAGATTCAATTCTATTGGTACACATTATCATTATTTTTAGTTAATTATATATTATATATTAAAATTAATTAATTCGTTTTAATTGTTATAAGGAAAATTTTTAAATTTTAATTAGTTTTGTTTTTGTTGTTATTAGGAAAGTTTCTAAATTTTAAGTTAGTTATTAATAAAAATGAGTTTTAAAAATAGATCTTATTTTTCTATCAACAATAAAAAAGGTAAATTAACATATAAATAGATTATGAAAGAAAAATCATATATATTGAAAAAAATTATTAAAAATTATATTTAAAACCATAATTAAATTATTTAAAAATTTTAATCACGACAAACAATTAAAATTTACTAACTTAAAATTTATTAGTTGTGATCAGCATTGATGTCTCAGGTCAATGAGAGTGTCCACATAGGACATATATACTCAATGTGATTAGTCTATATCAGTGTATTCATTAAACATAAAAAATAAAAAAATATATTATTAATAAATTAAATAAATTAAAACATATAAAATATAAAATTATCACAATAGAATGGAAAATTAAGATAATTTTTTAACTAAAGAAAATAAATTTAAGTCAAAAGTCAAAATCTAATGTGAAAATAAAATGGAAATTCATTGTCACAAAAATTAAACTAACAAAAATAAATATTAAATCAATAACGAAAAAGTTAAATTAAAAAATAGCATATATATTTTAAATGAATAATTTATTTAGAAAAAATATTAAAATTAAATTTTCATATAAACATATAAAATTATTATTTAAAAATATCAATACTACTAAAAAAACATTCATCTTAAATTATCAAAAAGGAAAGTCATCTAAAATTATAATTTTGAGGGAAATATTTAAAAAATTAACACAAAAATCTTAACAAACCAAACATGATACTTTATGCTAATTACTGAAAAAAAGTAATATAAAAAAATGTTTAACTAAGAAAAATCAAAACATAAATTATTTATTACAACATGTCAATACAATTAAACTGAAAGTTCATATCAAGAAAGTTAAATTAAAAAGAAAGAGGATGTTTACTTATTATCTATGTTATTTATTTAACAAAATCAATATAAACAGAATAAATAAGAGAATAAAAAAACTTAAATAATACTAAAAACTTAGCTAACAAAAATAATATAAATATTTAAGCTAATTATTTAAGAAATCAATATTAAGAAATTAATTAACTAAAAAACTAAAACAAAAATTAAGTTTTACAAAATATGTTTTTTTAAAACACATAAAATATATTGACTTGATATCTGACTAACTACTTAAAAAATTCATATAAAAATATTTAACCAACAAAAAATTTAAGTCTTCAAAATATCAATATTTTAAAAACAATAGTGTGTTAAAATAAAATAGAAATCAATATTAATAGAGGTAAATTATCAAAGAAAAAAGTCATATAAAGTAAAATTAGCTAGATATTTAGACTAACTACCAAAAAAATATTAACTAAGAAAACAAATGATGGTATAAGCTTTTGAGAGAAGATCACTTAAAATTTATAATAATCAATTATAGCATGTCAAAATAGCATTTTAATTAATTTAAAAAGTAAATTTAACAAAAAAAGCATTTATGTAAAAGATATTAGATTAATATATATGCTACATATTTGAAAAATCAATAACAAAAGAGATTAATTAAAAATACATATTTTTTAAGTATATCAAACCTGCAGAAAATTAGATAATTAAAACAAAATATAAAATTACCATTGAAGATATTTCAAATAACAAAAAACAAGATCTAAGAAGAAAATTAGTTTGAAATATAGTTCCAAAAACTATTCATAATTTCTAAAATATTGGTTATTAATAGGTTATACAAGTTTCTAAATCAAACATATTATTTAAATTTATAAAGATTAATACTTTGGTTGCGTCTGGTTGAAAAATTAACAAAGTAAAATATTACACAAGTAACTTTACATTCAAAATATAATAAGTAATAAAGTCTGATTTGTATACATATTTACTGCTTATAACTTAGTTAACATGAACAACACATGAGCAACATCCTCGAAAATTTTATTTAAATAATATAATATGACAAAGTTATAAATCAAATTCAATTGGAAATATATGAAGATAAAATATTCAAATCAAAACATGAATAAACACACAAAAGATAAAAAAAAAAACAGTGATAATGTGAAGTCTCAACATCATCTGACATGTTTAAAAACAAATATTAGCAAATAGTTGACTGCAAATATAACAGATCTTATAAACTGAATTGTGATATAACCGAAAATTCGTAGAAGATCTGGTGGAGAAGCAAAAAGCAGTTTTACACGATTAGTGTAGCTTACTAACAAAAGTAAATATGAATCAACATATATCATACATTGTATATTTATATGTACACAACATTAGTGAGGTATTTAGTAAAGAAACTTAATATTTAAACATATAAACCTTTTTAAAAAAAACCATAGAAATCCTAAGGATACAGAACAAAACACCAAAAATTTAGTAAGGAAATCATTTTCTAAATCAAACATATGCACATCGAAGTTGGATAATTCGTTAGGTGTCATTACTATGATTTTACTTAATAAGATTTATAATTTTATAAACAAAAATAGGAAATACTACATATTATGTTTTAATTTGTTTTATATAAAAGAAAAATCTTAGAAATATATTATAGTTTTGATAATTTAAAAGATATTAGCCAAAAAATTAAACCAAATTATTAATACAGACTCGCGCGTAACGCAAGTTAAAAGCCAAGTCTATTACTAATAAAAGTTGATGCTAAATGCCTCTAAGAGTGTCCATATAGGATTTAAAATATTCAATTATATTGGTACACATCATCATTTATAGTTAATTATATATATATATATTAAAATTAATTAATTTTGTTTTTATTATTATTAATAAATTTTTAAATTTTAATTAATTTTATTTTTATTGCTATTGGGAAAATTTCTAGATTTTAAAATAATTATTAATAAAAATGAGTTTAAAATATATGGAAATTAGATCTTATTTTTCTATTGAAAATAAATAGAAAATAAACATATTATTAGATTATAAAAATCATAAAAATTAAAAAAATATTCATTTCATTGGTCCACATAATTTTCTGTAATAAAATATATTTTAAAGTTAATTATATTTTTTTTTACTTACTTCTATACTATATAAAAGTTGATGGCATAGTGCATTGAGGACGTCCACATAGGACGAAGAAACTCGATCTGATTGGTCCACATCAGCAATTTTCATTAAACAAAAAATGTTAAATATGATTAGTAATTTGAATAAATTAAAATACACAAAAAAGAAAAAAGATCATGGTAGAATGGAAAATAAAGATAAAAAAGTTTAACTATCAAAACAAATAAAAGAAGTTATGTCAGAAATTTAAATTTATAGCGTTTGTCAAAACAAAATGGAAACTAAATGTCACCAAAACCTAAACCAATAAAAAAACAAATATGTAAATTTATAACGAAAAAGTAAATTTAACAAAAAAAATTAAATACACTTAAAATTAAAAAATTATTTAAATTTAGCTTTATACTAACTATTAAATAAATCAATATAAAAAACTAAAGCTGTAAAAAACTATTTAAGAAAGTCATATAAAAATAAAAATAAACAAATAAAATATAAATTATGTTTTAAAAATTTTAATACAATTAAAATTGAAATAATTTAAAAAATATATTTAAAAAATCATTGAAAAAAATTGAGTTGATATATATGTTAACTATTTAAAAATCAATATAAAAGAGTCTCATTAACAGGAAAAAAAAAAACTAACTGTAAAAATGTTAATATTTACAAAAAAATTATGTTTCAAAATTAAAAAAGGATCAATATAAAAAAAAGTAAACTAACGAAGGAAACAAGTAATTTAAAAATACTAATTTGATATTTAGGATAACATTTTTTAAAAATTAACATAAAAAAAATCAATAACAGAAAGTTAAACTAACAAAAGATTTTTTTTTAACATATATACTTTAAATGACTAATTTTTTAAAATTTAGCTTTAAACTAAATTTTAAAGAAATCAATATAAAAACAAAGCTTTAAACAAACTATTTAAGAAATTAATATAAAAATGAACAAAAACAAATAAAATATAAATGATGTTTTACAGAATATTAATAAAATTAAAATTGGTATTAATAACAAACAAAATATTAAAACAATCATCTAAAAAATTGACTTGATATATATGGTAACTATTTAAAAATTTCAATATAAAAGAGTCTCATTAACAGAAAAAGAAAAGATAATTGTCTATAAAAATGTCAACATTTGCAGAAAAATTATGTTTCAAAATTATTTAAGCTAACAGAATCAATATTAAAAGTAAACTAACAACGGAAAAGTCATAAAAAAAACTAACTTAATATTTAGGCTAACATTTTTTAAAAAACTAACATTAAAACTTTAAAAACAAAACCAAAAACAAATGATGCAGTAATATTATGAGAAAAGTTGATATTAGATTTAAAATAAACAGTTATAGTATGCCAAATCAACATTATAACTAAAATGAAAACTAATATTAGAAAATAAAATTTTTAAAAAAAAAGAAAAAGCATTCAAGTAAAATAAATTAACTTGATATCTATGTTAGCTATTTTGAGAATCAACAACCAAAAAGTTTAATCATAAAAAAAAATCCTAAGTATAACAAACATACAAAAAAAATTATATAGATTAAAATAAAATATAAATTTACTATCAAAATATGTAAACTAAAATATTTTTAAAGTATTGGTATCTACAATTAATAACTATATAAAGTTGCAATAAGTTTACATAATTTTTTTAATCACACATATTCTTTAAATATACAAAAGTTAATATAGTAGGTAGTTGTGACTTAAAAGCTAACAAAAAATACTACAAAAGTAACTCAAAATTTAACAAGCAGTAAAATCTGATTTTTATATATATCTACTACTTATATCTAAGCCAACATTAATAACATATGAGTAACACCTTCTAAAATTGTATTTAAATAATAAAATACGATAGAGTTAAGAATCAAACTCAAATTGATATATATAGATAAAATATTCAAATCAAAATATGCAGAAAGCACACAGAAGATAAAAACAGTCAAACAAATATAAAAACTGCACACCATCCATCCTACAAGTTTAAAACTAGAATTATCAAATATTAGACTACCAAAAAAAAATTTCAATGATAAACTGAATAAAGATATTAAAAAAAAACTCATGGAAGACATGATGGAGAAGTAGGAAACAATTGTGTATGATCATTGCAGTTTCTATCAAAACTAAATGTGAATCAACATGAATCATGAATTATATATATCCATAGATACACAACATCAATTAGATATTCAATCAAAAAATTAAATTTTTAATATATAAACCCTACAGAAAAACAGAAATGTAGAATTTTTATGGAAATTAAACAAAACACCAAGATCTTAGCAAAAAACCCATTCTCTAAATCAAACATGTTTGCATGTCAAAATTGTATATTTTTATAAGCGTCATTGTTATTATTTTATTTAGTAAAATTTAATTTTTTATAAACAAACAATTAGGGAAAACTACATGTTGTATTTTAAATTCTCTTATATAAAAAAGGAAATTTTATATATCTATTGTAGTTTTGATAATTTAAAAAGTAATAACTAAAAAAAAATTAAACTAAACTACTAATACAGACTTACGCGTAGCGCGAGTTAAAAACCTAGTAATATATAAAAGTTGATGGCATAGTACATTGAGGGCGTCTACATGAGATTAAAAAACTCAATCTGATTGGTCCACATCAGCATATTCATTAAATAAAAAAAATGTTAAGTATGATTAGGACAGAAAAACTTGATTTAATTAGTCCACATCAGCTTTTAAATCAAACCAAAAATTATTAAGTATTATTAAAATATTAAAAGTTAATTTAACAAATTATGTCTAACAAAAAAAGTAAAGTCAATCTGATTGATTCAAAACAAAATATTGATTAAATCAGAAAATGTTAATATGGTTTAAAAATTTAAAAGTTAAATAAAAAATTAACACTAACAATACATGTATAAAAAAAGTAATCATTATCAATTTAAAAAAATCTACAACAACTCGATTTAACAATTAAAACAATGAAAACTGAATAAAAATATAACATAAAACTCTTGGAAGACATGATGGAGAAGGAAAAAATGGTTTTGAATGATCATTACAGCTTTCTAACAAAATTAAATACGAATCAACATGAATCACGGATTATATATACACTGGTACACAACATCAATAAGACTTTTAATAAAAAAAACTAAATATTTGAACACATAAACTTTCAAGAAAAAAAGAACTATAGAAATTTTGTGAAAAACAGAAAATAATACCAAAATCTTAGCAACATTATATTTCTCTAAATCAAATGTATATGTACGTCAAAGTTGGATAATTCGATGGGTTTTATTATTATTATTTTACCTAATAGTATTTTAAAACTTATAAATAAAAATAGGATAAATTACATATTATATATTAAATTCTCTTATATAAATGAAAATTTCTATAAATATATATAATTTTTAATAATTTTAAAGATAGTAGTTAAAATAATAAACCAAAATATTAATACAGACTCGCGCGTAGCGCGAGTTATATACCTACTATATTATAAAATCTACTGAATTAACTTCAAATTCATCTCCTAAATGTTTTGATTTTAGTCTATCATTTTGATACTAATTTAGTCAAATCTTCATGATTTAGTTTAGCCAAAAAAACTGTCATCATCTAAATTTTAGTCAATCTTCTTGATACTAAATAATAAAAGTTCTAATAGGAAAGGAATCTGTTTCTTGTGATTTATTTATCAATAGTAGATTTTCAAAAATGTAATAAAGATATTTTTAATATATGATTTTTTGTCAACAATATATGATTTAAAACCCTCAAATTTAATAAATAATTTTAAATCAATCACTAAATAACAATAGATTATAAAATCTACAGAATTAACTTCAAATTCATAATTGAATAAACACCTCCTAAATGTTTTGATTCTAGTCTATCTTTCTGATACTAATTTTAATCAAATCTTCTTGATTTAGTTTGAAAAAAAAACTGTCACCATCAATTTTAGTCTATCTTCTTGATACTTATTTGAGTTCAATTGACATACCTATTTTGTTTAGTCAAATACCTATTTAAGATGTACGGTTTCAAAAGTTGGACTATTTTCCCGCTAAACCCGGAAATGTTGGATTTTATATTAAACAAAAAAAAAGATTGGTACATGATTATACACCTTTTTTAGCTCTGTTTATTTTGGTGAATCAATTCAAGGTCTAGAATTAGAACTCTGCAATTTTGTTATCTATAAATTACTCTGTTTCAAAGACGGATAAAAAGATCAAACACAAAACACAAAAAAAAAAACAAGTCTAAGAAAATGGAGTTCTCTATTAAACCTTCAACCCTTAAGGTAAATCTATTGCTCTTGATTTATTCAATGCTATTCTACACACTGACATGCTTCTAAACTTACTTCATAGCGAGATCAATTTGAGTGACAATCTAATGTGATTTTTTTTTCCGTTCTTTTAACAGATGATCCGAACAAGTTTTTGTATATTAGTGCTTTTGGCAATAAGTAATTTTCAGATGATGGAATCTCATAAAGGCAAGGGATCAGAAGGAAAAATTCATTATTCGGCGATTAATTGTCGAAAACATAGCGCAGTTATAACCGAATTTGGAGCAGTGGGTGATGGAAAAACATCAAACACAAAAGCCTTTAAGGAAGCCATAACCAAGCTTGCTCCTAAGGCGGCCGACGGTGGAGTTCAGCTCATTGTTCCACCGGGAAATTGGCTTACCGGAAGTTTTAACCTCACCAGTCATTTTACTTTATTCATTCAAAAGGGTGCAACAATCCTTGCTTCTCAGGTATGAATATGATTTCCATTCTTAAAAAAAAAAAAAATTGATTTTCATAATTTACATAAATAGTTTGTGTAAGAAATTACTCATTTTATCTGATTTTCTTGAAGGATGAATCTGAATATCCAGTGGTTGCACCTTTGCCATCGTATGGACAAGGAAGAGATGCAGAAGGACCAACATTTGCTAGTTTAATCTCTGGCACAAACCTAACTGATGTTGTTATCACCGGTAAGGATAATAAACATATATATACAATGAATACTATAAACTTGTTTCAAGATCTTGAATAATGTATTTTTTCGCCTAAAAGACTCGAAATGATCGAAATTTTGTTTTGGTTAGGTAACAACGGAACGATCAACGGGCAAGGGAAATACTGGTGGGTGAAGTATCGGAGTGGTGGATTTAAATCGATCACGAGACCTTACACGATCGAAATCATCTTCTCTAAAGACATTCAGATCTCTAACATCACCATCATCGACTCTCCTGCATGGAATATTCATCCCGTGTATTGCAGCAACGTCATCGTTAAAGGCGTCACCATTCTCGCTCCTATCGATTCTCCTAACACCGATGGAATCAACCCTGGTAAGTCCATATCCCACGTCGCATTTACATGTTATATATAGTCATTATATAACATAAAAAAACTAAACGCTTACAAACAATAGGAACTGTTGTTATATATTCGATATGGTTTTGAAGACCCTAATATTATACGGAATTTAAAAGAATTATATTTCGTCCCAAAAAAGTTGTGACGTGGCATTATTTCTCTTTGGTGTTCACACTTTTATTTTCTTCTTTGATTTGGTTAGATTCATGCACCAACACATTGATCGAAGACTGCTACGTAGTCTCCGGCGACGACTGCATCGCCGTCAAGAGCGGTTGGGATCAGTTTGGTATCAAAGTAGGAATGCCAACTCAGCAACTCTCGATCCGAAGGCTCACATGCATCTCTCCCGATAGCGCCGGGATAGCACTCGGAAGTGAAATGTCCGGTGGGATCAAAGACGTTAGAATCGAAGACATTACGTTACTCCAGACACAATCCGCTATCAGAATCAAAACAGCGGTTGGTCGTGGCGGTTACGTTAAGGACATCTTCGCAAGGAAGTTCACAATGAAGACAATGAAGTACGTTTTCTGGATGAGCGGTGCATACAACCAACACCCCGTCTCGGGTTTCAATCCCAAGGCTATGCCCGAGATTACCAACATTAATTACAGTGACATGACCGCGGATAACGTTACGCAGCCCGCTAGGCTCGATGGGCTCAAGAACGATCCTTTCACCAAGATATGCATGTCGAATATTAACATTGCTTTGGCTGCTGAGCCCAAGAAGTTGCTTTGGAACTGTACGAACATCTCCGGAGTTTCGAGCAAGGTTACACCGAAACCGTGTAGTTTGTTGCCGGAGAAAGGAGCTCCCGTGAACTGTGCTTTCCCGGCTGATAAGATTCCTATCGAATCTGTTGTCTTGAACAAATGCTCTGCTTAGAGATTGTTCCAGAGATATTATATATTTATACCTTCTTTAAAGAAAAAAAGAAGTGTATGTTATATAGATAAAAATGGCACAGCTTGTTACTGTATTGTATACAGCTGATGTGTTCATGCAATTTTTTAAAAGTTTTATTAAACGCATACGACTATAATTGTACGTTTGTGAAATGAATAAATAATACATGATTATATATATGTTTCTAAACATTGAGAAGAGTTGATCGACTACTATTGATACAACTTCTATTTAGGCATGGGCAAAAAACCCGGACCCGAAAACCCGAACCGGAACCGACCCGAAATAACCGGTTCGGATCGGGTTCGGTTATTATTAAATTACCTAACGGGTATTAAGTTTAAGAACCGTGGGTATCGGGTCGGTTCCGGTTCCTATCCGATACCCGATCGGTTAAACCGAAATTATACACTTAGAGTTTGTAGAGAAATTTCCTGTTGAACCAGATGGACCCAGATGTCGATCTACATACCGTTTCGTAGGTCTCGCAGTCAACTATTCAGAACTTCTGTTCGTTATCGATTCTGAAATATATTCAATCCGGAAATCAATTTACATGTTAACGAAAAATATCAGTATTTCTTGAAAATTTCAATTTTTATTCGGGTATTTGGTTATATTTCGGGTATATGGTTACTTTTTCACTGATTTCGGTCTAATTGGATATAAAAAAACTAGAACCGAACCGAAAATTATAAAAAACTGATTTTTTCGAAAATTAAACGGTTCTAAAATTTAAGAACCGAACTAACCCGGAACCGAACTCGAATCGAAATCTTTTCGGTACCTCTATGGATATAAAATTCTCTTACCCGAAAGTACCGGAACCGATCGAATCTGACCCGGAACCGACCCGAATATCCGAATGCCCAGGCCTACTTCTATTCACTACAAGAAATGAGAAACATAGTTACAGAAATTTTTGTAACTATGTTAACAAATCTGTAGCTATTTCTCGATTGCTACAAATTAGTTTCAACTTTATTTTCGTAACTATGCGATTGTAGCAAAATATGCTATAAATTGGAGACAAAATAATATCGTGATAATTTGATTCAAATTTGCTACAATTTTTTTGTGATAAATTAACTACAATTTTGTAATAAACATATCATGGCTAACATTTTTGTGATAAATTAACTACAATTTTGTAATAAACATATCATGGCTATTTGTTAGAAATACCACTAACTGGTTGTAGCAAAAATCACTACAAATATCAACACAAAAAATATAGTAACTTGTTACAACTATACACAGATTAAATGTAATAGAATAATTACAATTACCTTCAAATATACTGTAATAAATATCAACAAAGATCTACAAAGTTAGCCATCACTATTTGCGACAGAAATCTGTAAACTTGTTGTGACTTATTACAGATAAATATGTACAGAAATTGCCATAATTTTTTGCTTTAGAAACTCATACTATACTAAAAAAAATAAAAAAATAAAATTTATACAATATTACAGTAGATATTAAACATAGATTACATTAGATATTAAACATAGATTACATAGATTGCAAGGAGAGAAGATTAAGAGTTACAAAAGATACAAAGAAATTAATCTTTGAAATGTTAAACATTGTTAACAAATCAAACAAAAAAAGTTTTTTAGTTAAGAGCATATAACCATATTTAACATATTTAACAAGATGAAGTTGAAACACATCACCATGCTGCACCGCCATCACCATCCTGGGTATCGAAACCATCATCTTTACCATCGTTCTGATTCGGAGGGACAAGCTCATCTGTAGCCATGTGGTCATCCTCTGCAATTCCTGCGAAAGCCCCAGCAAAGCTCTCACTAGTGACTGAACAAGACTAGTTTCAGAGGGCAGCATGTACTTCTTCATATGCTCCGCCACAGACGATACACAGCTGATTTATGTGCCTTTTCCCAATAGAAGGCTTGCTGCAAATAAAACAAAAAAGCTTCAGACAAAAATTACAAAGATTGAAAGATAAAAATGTATATGAATTAGGAATTAAAGCGTGATAAACAACTTACAATAAATTCTCCCCACCATTGCTTAATGGCATAGACATTTTTTGTGATTCCACGAGAGGGATGGAGAAGGCTGAAGAGAGAAATGAGGAGGGAGGAGGAAGGAGGGAGGAGGGAGGAGGCTGAAGAGAGAAGGATGAGGGAGGAGTCGACGATGAAGATATAAGCAGGCGAAACTGATCCAGAAAATTATTTACAACTAGAAAGAAGACAAAAGATTTGGAAGAGAGAGATTGCATAGATTTCATCTTTGGTTAGAGATAGGAAGAGGAAAAGTTATACTTTTAACCCATTAATTAGATTTGTTGAAGATTTTATAGAAACGAAGTGGGTAGATACAGCAAAATCTTTACCTATCAATCTTTTACTTAGTGGGTGAAAGGCTCGATGAAAAAGTTAGTGAAAGATGTGGGATTTAAGGGATGTGATGCACGTGGCTTTTATTGTTGAGATTTGGATCAGAGTTTTTACTAGTATATCAATATATATATATATGGGGCATATCTTATTATTTTTGTAAATGAAACTAAATAATTAGATTTCTAGTAAAGCAGGTTTAGTAAACAATAAAAAGTAAAATTCATACAGCTTAAAAAAATAAAGATAAATAACAAGAATAGTTCAAACTATATCGAGAATCAAATAATATACATTTATATTTTTTTTTTTTTTTTTAGTTTTGTGTGCGTTTTATAACAAATCTATAATTACTATAATAATTATTACATAATTTTTGAAACTAATTTAATTTTAAAATTTTGTTACACTCGTAGAAAAACGCATTACATAGTATAAATATTGGTAGGAAAATAATAGGAAAAAGTTAAATAATATTTGTAGGTAAGTGGGAGGAATTAATTTTTTAATAGATTATTTCGTAAGAAATTGGTCAGTACTTTTCCACCAATTTCCTACCAATATTTCTGACGTATTTTTCTACGAGTTATGTACCACATTCAATTTAGAATGAAAAATAAAACATAACATATTTTCATAGAAAATTCATAGAAAACAGTATGGATGAGCATTTTATCCGGATCCAAAAATTTAATCTAAAAATATTCAACCCAAATGGATTTGAATCATTCACAATACTCGATTGGATATAATTGTTGGTGACTTATGGGTACCCGGTAATATCCGGATCTGATCCGATATTCAAAAAATTATCTGAAATATCTGATTTCTAAATTTTTTTGTGATTCTTACCTGTTTAGATTAACCAATAAGAAAATCAGTTTTCTTTTATTCATTTTTTTTCTTTACGTCATAGTTTTTTTTTGTTTGTTATCAGAATTGTTTGGTAGGAAATCAGTCATAATATTTTTACCTACGAATATAATTTGGTAAGAAATCGGTCATAATATTTTTACCTACGAATATAATTTGGTAGAAAATCAGTCATAATATTTTTACGATTTTCCTACCTATTTGATGGTCAATTTTTTTAAACTATTTTTTTACCATTTTTTACCAAAATTTTGATGAATATAAGTTTAATAGGAATGTGGTAGAAAATATCTGATCACTTTTTGACCACTTTGGTTCGTAATAATTTTTTAACGGATTTTTTACTATTTCAAATTTTTGTCATAATTTCATAGATAATTAGTAATAATTTTTTCCTACCAAAATTTTGGTAAAACTTTTAGTAGGAATTTGTTATGTTTTCTTGTAGTGTATGATATAAGGTTTGCATTTTGGATTTAATGTTTGATTTTAGGGTTTAGAATTTGATTTTAGGGTTTATGATTTAATTTTAGGTTTTAGGGTTTGCAGGTTAAAAGTTTAAATTTTGGTACATATGTGTTTTATATTTACTGTATAGGATGTAGGATTTGAGTTTAGGATTTATAGTTTGCATATTTGGGTTTAGGGTTTAGATTTTAGATTTAGAGTTTGAGTTTAGGGGTATGGTTTGTATTTTTAGATTTAGAATTTATATTTCTAATCTTAAAAATATAATGTTTAGTTATATTTTAATATGAAACTTAATCTTCTAATTGTTTGATTTGAAAGTTTACTAATTTTGTAATAAATTTTGTTTTAATATAATCAGTTATAAATAATATATTTTGCTACAAAGAGAAATAGTAGCAATTTGCCACTATTTTATTTTAAAATTTTTTAAATTTAATAGTTATGTTACAACAATTCGATTGTAATAAATTTGTAACATTTTATTATAATTTTACTACAAATTTGTTAGTGACAAAGTTGTAGCAAATATGTAACAACTCCAAAATTGTCTTTAATCTGTCTCAAATTAGTTATGAATTTCTACTATTTTGTCACGAAAATAATTTTTTTTGAAAATGTCACAAATTTGTATCGATTTGTAACAATTTTTTGTAACAATTTGCTGTCGTAGCAAAATCCGTAACTATGTTACTCAATTCTTATAGTGATTTGATTAGTGTAATTGATTCTATCTTATCTAAGAATCGAAAACTTATGTGAGATTATATGGTGATCTGAATCACTAGATTCTATACATTAATGGACAAAGAAAAAATGATGTTTATCTTTATGTAGATAACATATTGAAAATGCTTAGTTAATCGACAAAAAAAGATACTAACTAGCTAAGAAATGAGAAAGTAAATAAGACAATAAAATATTACTCCGTAAACATGGGGAAACATTGGATCAAGTGCATGTACTCCTAATTATAACTACTCAATTCCATGGCACTAATCAACTTCATTTATCACCTAAACATGCTAAAATTATTTGAACCTTAGACAATAACCAAAATGGTAGACCTGTTCGTATTAGTTTCTTTCTCACATGATATTTTTTTTTTAGACAAGTGTCAGTGTTCAGAATCTCGGATGAAGCTCACTCACAATGTCATCGTAAATCATCTGCACACCACAATCGCTACCTACTAACTTCTACCTACTTTCTTGTCAAGTGTCAAACTATCTTTTGCTTTATTTGTTTCTTTATTTTTTTGTGCTCTAGTGACAAGTGTCGACGTTACTTATAAATTTATTACTATCATATGAATAAGAATTTTCTAGATTTAGATATTTAGATATGTAGTCACTGCCTAATACTCTACATAAAATTTTACTTAGTCGACTTTGAGAACATCCTGACTTTAGTGCTTCAAATTTTCAAATCAACAAAAAAGTTTTTAAATAATTTTTTTACGATGAAATATTTCTAAGTATGTGTAAAAATTGTAGAAAAATTATTGTACAGCCACTTGTTGCAAACTTAATTTTAATTACATTAGTACTGTTAAAATTCTAAATATAATTTGTTTTTTCGAAGCCAGCTATGTGTGAGTTTGACTTGTGCATTTATTGGCCTAACTTCTGCCACATTCGAACCTACCTCTCTTCAAATCTCCATTTGTATTGGTAAGTATATAAAAGCATATTAGAGCCGATTTTTAATGTGCAATCAAGATATATGAATATTCATCTTAGGTCTGCGATGCCATATAAAATAGCATTCATTATGAATGGGTAGACAGTGAAGCTGGTCACTAGATACATAGCATGGTACAAAGACATACCAAACAAATTTCTAAAAATACACCAAAATTAAGATTTTCTTATAAATTCACCAAAGTGATACTTGTTCCGTTATATTCAAGTAACTTTTTTATCGTTAATTTTTTTTTGTCAACTAATTCTCATTCAAATTAAACTGGATCAACCCAAAAGTTTAGGCAATACAAAGTAAATTTGGCAAGCATAACAGCTGCATAAACAGAAAAAAAGTATAAAATAGAAAGATAACGGATAGAAGAAAGTGGCAAGACTTCCAATATCCAAAAGAAAGCCTGCAATCTCATTCATATCCAACCCTAAACGTAGGGTGTTAAAGAGGACTTTATAGTCCGAAACCAAAGTCGAGATGACATAGATGCAGCTAGAAGTTGCCAGAACATGAAGCAATGGCTGCAGTGATAGTTGGGAGTCTTTCCTGAGCTCGGACCGAAGCAAAGTGAGGTCCTGGAAGCAGTCAGGAGAAGTACACGGGAGGAAAACATTGGATTCTTTTTCTGAGTAGCTAAAAATCTTACACATCATTCTCTCTGCAAACTGATATTTATGATATTTCTCACCTAAATGAACAAAGGAAAGATCAAACAGCTCCATAATTGATGTGAAAAACCACCGCTTTTTAAAACTCTACAAAGGAGGAGCAATGGAGATATTCACTTGTTCCCCACAAGATCAAGATCACAGCCTCATACTGAAGTAACGCGTTTCATATGACAACATAATAGGAACCATCCTCATACTGAGGTAAACAAAACCTAACGAAAGGTAGATTCCAAATCAAATCCATTTGTTCAAGAAAGTCAAAATCTCGAAAAGAAACACTATCTTCAAAGAACACATGAGACAGAGAACCAGATTTGGAAGAGACCATCAAGAGACCTGAAGCAGGCGCGACAAACTCCAAATCGGGTGGATCTGGAGGGTTCGATGGGATTGGCTGAGACGGCACAAAGGAGCCAACACCCACAGGGCCTTTGGCCGGGAGAGGAGCGAAGGATGGCAGAGATGTGAGGAAGGTGAGTTTGGAGGAACGATCAGGAGGGTCTGAACGATCGTTAATTTTTTATATAGTAAATCGAAAACTGAAAGTATGTAAAGTTACTATACATAAACAGTAATATGATTAAACTTTATTTATTAAAAGTTACTTGAATAGTTGAATGTAACGGAAAATACTGCATGGTATCTGTGAAAGTGATATTTACTTTTGTCTTCTACAATATTTACTTTGATTACTTATTTTATACAAAGTTGATGAAGATTCTTTTAGTTTTGCATGAGAACTTTCGACGTGTCTTGAAGAAGTGATGTGTGTCTTGATTCTTCAATGTGGATGTTTGTATGTGTTGAGTAGTTTTGGCATAATATATCATCTTGTTGTCACTAGGAAGAATTGTCTTGTGAGTCTTGAATTCATCTTGCTTAATTTATGGATCATCTTGTCTTATTGCTCTTCTCCAAATTAAGTCTTTGGCTTTTTGATGATAGGATTAGAAGAACTCCCATCCCATTAGCCACCAATTCTCATTTTTTTAAATTAATTATTCAACAGGGTTGTGTTGAATTATTTCGAATGAATGACGTTAAAAGGGATAATACTGTTGAAAAACAAACTTTAAGAATTATTCATTTGGGCGGTCAAACCACTCGGATGCTAAGATTTTAACCAAATCGGTAAAAGGATTGGTCTATAGACAGATAACAATAGCTGATTTAACGACCTAGATAGCTGATTTTTTATATATAAGTATTGTTTTTAGGGTTTCATATAAAGATGGCTGAAAGTAAAAAAAAATATTTGACACTATTTTTAACTTTTGAAATAAATTAAATATAAAATGTCAATTGATGAAATCAAGGAATACAATGTCAAAGCCAAATCCTATTAGAAGGTATTGGATACTAATGAATTGGTATCTATTTGTAGAAACAGAACTTCATCAAATGGAAGTATCATGTTTTACCATGTTGTGGGTAATTACATGCTTCAACCAAGAATCGCTAGCCAATCACCAAAGAAGATTGCATACGGAGAAGGAAAATAACAAAATTATTTTTTTTGTTAATAAATACAATTTACTTGTCAAATTTATTTTTCATCATGTTGTATCTTTCTCAATATATGGTGCATATATTGCTTATGTAATACTTTACGATCTGATTTTGTAATCTCTTTTAGTATTAATGAAATTGTTCTGACAAAAAAATATATATATAATAATAGGGAAAAAAGAAAAATATTCCGATTAGTAGGTATTAAATTAAAAATTAGTCAAAGTATTATTTTTGGGAAACAAATTAACGATTATGTGATTTGATATAACCATTGCTGTTTTGGAGTATTTCCCACGTACACGCGATTCAAAAATGATAACTTGTTAAATCTACGAGAACATGACACATGACTTACGAGATTAGGATAACCGTATCTAGTTAATGTTCAAGACAGTTTTAGGATATCATACAAATGTTTAGTTCAATTTTAACATACGTGTGTTTCTCTTTATTTTGGAACTAAACATTTGTATGATATCCTAAAACTGTCTTGAACATTAACTAGATACTAAAAAGGGAATCATGAAACTTTTAAACTTGATTTTTCGATCATCTTTTTGCCAACAAACATTTAAAATTGATTTTAGTCTAATTTTTATAAAAAATATTAATTTTAATACGTAAAACCTAGTCATTTTTCAAGCAATTCAAAAGCAGTATTTTGACAAGTAATTGGATGGTAAGTGGTAATTTTTGAAAATATACTTTAAAATTAATTGATAATTCTCTCAGTACAGTTTTAATCATAATTGGTAATTGCAGCCATAATTTTTTTTTTGTTTCATTCACATGTTTTGGAAATTAGTTTGAGTTTTGACTTTAAAGTTTTGTTTATTAACAAAATTTAAAATAATAGTTCTAAACCAAAGAACAGTAAATTTCTAATAAAAAATCTGTAAATCCAAACTAATTACTGTATAGTGAATCATCCATAAAAACTATACTGTAGAAGAGAATGTACTCTTGTAAGGTGGTCAAAGAAGAGTTACACTAGTAATTTTGGTGGAGTAGATTTATTTCTCTTTTCAAAAAGAGATTATTCTTACAATTCCCTTAAAATACCTTTCGAGTTTCAACCGTTTATTCCATTTTCCACCACATTTTATGGATTAGCGATATACTAACGAAAGTAAAAGTAATTTTTTTGTAAGATGAGTTAGTTGGGAGAGCGTGCAACATGAAATAGTTCACCCACCTTTCTCCTATTTATTACTTCCTTCTTCTTCTACCTCTCTTCCCCACACGCCTCTCTCGTTATCTATAAGACAGATTCAATCATCTTCTCATTTCTCCATAAAATTTTAGATAATTAAACATCAAAGTTTTCTCAATCAGAAGAAAAGTGATGAATCAAGAGAAGCCCACGTCATGTTGCTGCGTTCTTGATGCTTCCACTTATGTGGGTTTCTGGATTCTGAAGAGATTGCTCACCAGAGGCTACTCTGTTCATGCAGCCATCCGTAAAAACGGTAAAGATCTTTCGAATTCTCCATTGAGATCAATCAAGTTTTTTTTTTCTTTTCATTTTTTCAATTCATTTTAATGATTTCGAGGCAAAAGGGTTCGTTTTTCTCACCGATTTCTCTTCTGGGTACAGTCAAGTTTTCGTCTTTTTCTAGTTTTCTTCATAGATCCGAGGCAACGAGTTTTCTCTCTCTTCAAATTCACTTCTGGGTACAGTCAAAGTTTAGAATCTTCCCATTGATTTGAGGATTTCGTGGCAAAAGGGCTCTGTTTTTTTTTTGTATGAAGGATTGTTCTGTTTCTTCTTCTCTCTTTCTGTTTAGGGTTTAAACTAATGGTTATTTTGGTAATAGGAGAGAGTATGCTTGAGGAGAAAATCAGGAACATGCAAGCTACAGAGGAGAGATTAGTGGTTTTTGATGTGGATGTGTTAGATTATCAAAGCATCCTTGTCTCTCTCAACAATTGTAACGCTGTGTTCTGTTGCTTGGACAATCCTGAAGGGTACGATGTGAGTTTTTCAGATTATCGTTTATCACCATTACTTTCTCTGTTTTGTTTCTGGTTTCAGAAAAAAATTGAGAATTTGTAACGAAATGATTGTGATTGTTTCAGGAGAAGGAAGTTGATTTGGAGGTGAGAGGAGCGATTAATGTGGTGGAGGCATGTGCTAGAACAGAGACCATAGAGAAGATTGTGTTCTCTTCTTCATTAACTGCTGCAATTTGGAGAGATAACATTGGAACTCAGAAGGATGTTGATGAGAAGTGTTGGAGTGATCTAGACTTTTGTCTCAAAAAGAAGGTATTTTTAATTCAACTCATTTTTTTAATTGTTTGTTTTTTTCCGTTTTTAGTTTTTCTGAAAAGTTCGAGAGATACAGTGAAATATTATTGGACCACAGTTTTCAAGATATGATAGTTTTGACCTGGAATCACCAAATATTTAATGTACTTTTTCAATCAATCTGAAATGTCTATAGTCTATACTCTATACTATAGTTTTTTTTGTCGGCCAAATGTCTACTATATAGTTATTTTAGTATTTATTATATATGGGTCCCTTAATTTTTTTTATTTGTCGGCATGGATCCCTTAAATTAATCGCATCTGTTAACGTATTTTTTATTTTATGGGTTTTAGAAATTATACCATATATAGAATTTGTTGAACTTTTGAATTTGGGTTATGAATATATTGCTTAACAATAGCTCAAAGTTGGGTCTTCATGAAATGTAATATTTGGAGTCATTTGTCATGATGTCTATAATAATCTTGGTCAAGTTTTTTTTTTTTTTGGAACATTTCGTAAAATCTTGGTCAAGTTTCAATTCATTATAAGATTGCCATAGGAAATAGTATTAAATAGGTCAAACTTCAATATTCAACCTAGACCATAATTTAAAATAGTACTTTATTAAATTCGTAACTACATTGATCAAAAATTCACAATTCAGTTCCCTTGATAAACAAATATCTTGTGTGTGTGGCTTTTCAGCTATGGCATGCTCTGTCCAAGACACAATCCGAGAAGGCAGCTTGGGCACTAGCCATGGACCGTATGGTCAACATGGTCTCGGTTAACCCTGGACTCATCGTTGGACCCTCAGTGGCTCAACACAACCCTAGACCCACTATGTCTTACCTCAAAGGTATAATTAAGCTCATTAATATATAAATGTATATATATAGTTAATGATCTAATTGTGGTGGTAATGCAATTTGCAGGAGCTGCGCAGATGTATGAGAACGGTGTGTTGGCGTACGTAGACGTGGAGTTTGTAGCAGATGTTCACATTCGAGCATTCGAGGATAGTTCGGCTTGTGGTAGATACTTTTGCTTCAACCAAATTGTGAATACCGAAGAAGAAGCTCTCAAGCTTGTGGAAATTCTATCTCCTTTAATACCTATGCCACCAAGGTAAACATTATTAATACCATTTTGCTTTTATTTTATTTTACAGTATAGTATTTGATCGACCCTGAATGCAAGATATAATATAATTATATGCTAGGAGTTAGAAATGAATATAAAGTGTATAATTCCTACTTATTAATAATCTTTATATTATAATCCTAATATGATTTAGGTATGAGAAAGAGATGCAAGGAAGTGAAGTTTATGAAGAGAGATTGAGAAACAAGAAACTAAACAAGCTGGTGGAAGCTGGCTCTGCATGTTAATTAGAGGGAGAGAGTTTCATGTTATAAATTAAAGAGAAACACAACAACAACAAAAATATGTTATAATAAGAATAGTTCGTTTACTTTATTTTAATTGTAATCTCAATTCAGGTTTATTGGAGTATATTTTTTTTGTTATTTCAATTGGAAGATTTAGAAAACTGTGTTATTCATATAGAAAAATGTGTTACTCGTAGAAAAATGAATATCTATTGTGATTTCTCTCATTGATTGTAGAATATACAACAGATATAGTGTGAATTAAGCTAACAACTAATAAAATAACGTATATTTTTTTAAAAAAACGTCTATGGATTATTGGATGCAATGAAGCTACCCATTTAACAAGCTAGTAATTTGTAATCTACTGATTTATGTTAGTATCGTGACTATCGTCGATGTCAAATTAATTTGCATATTATATTGCATGTTGTTGACAAAAGAAAAATATATAGTATCAAAATTTCATGTTTTATTAACGACTAATTAAAGTTGTTTGGGATGGAGAATTAGTTCTGTCGTTATGGACACAGTTGTCATCTGCAATATACTTATGAGTTGTCAACTTTAACTATATACTATACTATATGTATATAATACTAATCCATGCATGAAGGAATACAAAAAAAGATCATAGACGCGTACTGCTAAAGTGAGAGTTCACCCTCAGGTGTACGCTAATTACGTGACTATCTTAATCTAACTTATGTAATTTATGTTGAATAAAAAAAATTCAGTTGCTATAGAAAATTAGAAACGCGTAGGAAAGAAAAACATACAAAAGCATTGAAATCGTTCCTATAGCTTAAGTTTTGATTAATGTTTTATTTAACAAAAACAAAATTGAATGTTTAGTTAATTTTTTTTAATATTCTCCTTTTTATAATATGAAACGTGTAATAAATGATGAGCATATAAATATTACACTCGTACGATCCACACTTTTTTATGTAATGGGTTTATCCACACTTCTCTTTCTGCAAGCTGTGATGTTTTAGACATTTCGATCACGCAAACAAATCAAAGACAGATAATGCGTTTCTTCCTTTTTACTTTAAAAAAAAAAAGAAATGATAATGGATAGATATCGATGACTGTTGTTATTATTTTCAAAGTACTTTATATCAGTTAATAATCGAAACTTGTATATATATAGGAGATTTATTTTCGAAAAAATAAAAAAATAGCTTTGCAACACTTACAAATTTTAAATGGTAACTAATACGGAACGTAGTAGAAAGCAGAGAACACAAGCAATACCAAATTATTTGAGCGGACGGAGAAAAACACATTTTTTGTTTGTTTCACTGTTTCTTTGTCAGCTCTATTTTTGGAATGAACAGTGACAAACAGACAAACCATAAATATTTTTGACAGGCATATTTTTGTCTTCTAGGGAGTGTAACAAATAAAGAAGAAACAGAATTATTCAGAAGAAGAAAATGGAAAAAAAAAACATGTTTTTAATTTGTATTTCGAATTTTTTATTTTTATTTTTCTCAAATGTTTTTCGACCATGACACGTGTACATTTCTTCCCACGCTCTTTTGCTATGTACGTCTCTTCTCTGATCTTGTGAGTACCAAACCTTTCTGAGAGCGAGAGGCAGAGATAGAAAAATATTGCTGGCTAAAAACATTTGTGGGCCACTACTGGGCCTAGTAGTATCTAAAACCCAACTCAAAATAAAACGATACCGTTTTCAAGGAAACATCTCTTCAATCTTCTTCTGATTCTGATTTTCTGAAGCTAGATCGTCGGTCGATCACCATAGTTGAATCTTCTGCTAAGATCCTGAGTTTTGAAGATGGTGTTGATCGAAAGCGAGAGCGACGAAGAAATCACCGTAAAAGAAGAGCCAATTCCATCTTCGCAGCCCGAAACAACGGTAGCGACGGAGACGAAACTCGTCGGCGGAGATGATTCCGACGGGTTCGAAACTGCCAGCGAACGGGAAGTGAGCGATAACGAAGCAGAGGAAAGTGATGACGCGAAAGAGAGCCATGAATCGCAAAACTCGGATAAGCATGAGGAGAAGGAGGCCATTACTACTACCGATGATGGATCAAAACAGGTAAAATCTAGAAATGGCTACAAACATCTAAGATCTTAGTAATAGAGTTTCGATTTCCCCTTTGATTGTTTGAATTCTTTTGAATTGACTATATTTTCTTCATGAACACGGTTTCAGTTCCTACTTGATTTTAGCTTGAATCTATAACTTTTCAGCATTATATAATCAAACTGTAGTTGAAATGGCTTAGCATGATTTAGCTTCTACTTCTTTTGTTTGCTTAGAAGGAGAAAGCTTTAGAAGATGGAAACGAAGCAAAAATGGAAGGAAATAAACTTTTTGGAAACGGTCTCTACGAAGAAGCATTGTCAAAATACGAGCTTGCTTTACAGTTTGCTCAGGAATTTCCAGAATCTTTGGATCTTCGATCTATCTGCCATTCGAACAGAGCTATATGTTATATCAAACTGGTTTGTATCTTCTTCACTAATGATCTGAAACTTGTATTTAGATTCTTTTGTTACTCAAGAGTCTTCAAGATTGCTTATGTGATCTCTGTACTGTAGAGTAAACATGCAGAAGCAATCAAGGAATGCACCAAAGCCATAGAGCTGCATCCGAGCTATACTAAAGCTTTCGTTCGTCGTGCAGAAGCTAATGAGAAGCTTGAACACTTCGAAGAAGCTCTCAATGGTGAGTTCTCGAACATTTTGAAGAATCATTTGTTTGTTTCCAAGACTTTGGAACCAATCATGCTTTTGTCTCTCGTCTCATTCTGCAGACTTGAAGAAGATTTTAGAACTAGACCCTTCAAATGATCAGGCTAGAAAAGGGATTCGACGTTTGGAACCATTAGCGGCTGCAAAGCAAGAAAAGATGAAAGAAGAAGCCATAGGTAAAAGAGTATTACATTGATTCTTGAGACTTCTTGACCCAAGTCTTGATGATGTGATGAAATATGTTTTTTTGTGATTGAACAGCGAAGCTGAAGGAGATGGGAAACTCGATCTTGGGTAAATTTGGGATGAGTGTAGACAACTTCAAGGCTGTTAAAGATCCCAACACTGGCTCTTACTCTTTCTCTTTCCAAAACTAGTCAAAAACCAAACCACGTTCTCATGTTTTGCTACAACCATTTCATGCTCATCGTGGTAATATCAAATTCGTTTTGTTGTCGATGAACTTGGTGCTGCATCATTGTTTTGGGAATCTGTAAATTCTTTGTCACAATGAAGAAAATTTGCCTTTTGAATGGTTAGTTTCTTTGTGATGAAAAACGTATATGAATGGGCTTTAAAGGTAATTGAGCTTTGGCGCTTTAAAAGTAATTGGGCTTTGGGCTTTAAATAAAACATGATTAGGCCTATAGGAGAAGGAAAATCACGAAAACTATTATAGACCTCCAGAAATCAATACTTTAGGGTTTCTCTCTGCGCAGTGCGAAACTCGTTCTTCTTCTTCTAGTCGGGTAACGATAACCCTAAGCTCAATTCCGATTCTACTGCAACGATGAGTCGATCAGGTCAGCCTCCGGATCTCAAGAAGTAAGTCCTTGTTCTGGTTTTACTTTTTTTTTCCTCATCTTTGTGTCTTTGTTTCGATTCAGTTCTTATATCGTCGCGTTTCTGATTTTTGTTCGTTGGTTTCGTCTCCCGATGCAGGTACATGGATAAGAAGCTGCAAAGTAAGTTCGATATCTCTAATTCTCGTTTGATCTATTTAGGAACTTTCGGTTTTTGATTTAGTCTTTAGCTGAAATTCGATTCGATTGCAACTTTTGCTCATATCTGTTTATGGCTTTTGTTCTTCTTCTAAAACTGCTACTCGTTGAGGGTTTTCTAAAATTAGGTTTGATTCTACGGAGTTTGATTAGTTTGAACAAATCTCGTACTGTGTTTGTGTGTCTGCCATGTTCTTGAAGTAGATCTTTTGGCGTTGTATCAGTTTTATCACCTTTGTTCTGGGGACTTGAAACTGACATGTTGGTATTTGTAATGCAGTCAAGCTTAATGCTAACAGGATGGTTGTTGGAACTCTTCGTGGGTTTGATCAGTTCATGAATCTTGTTGTGGATAACACCGTGGAGGTGAACGGTAACGACAAAACAGACATTGGGATGGTGGTAAGTCTCTCGACATTGTTGTACAAGAAGCTCTACTTCGTCTTCTTCAATCACCTTGTTGTTCTTGACTGATATTTTCATTTGGTTTCGGTGCAGGTGATAAGAGGAAACAGCATTGTCACCGTTGAAGCTCTCGAACCAGTGGGAAGATCTTCTTAGCTCGGTGTACGCTCCAGTAAAATCCATCTCTTTGTAGTTTTAATTCTCTGTTTGAGAAGACTTTGGTGGTAGATTCGCAGTTATTAAGACTTTGATCAGTAAGAAGTCTTTCTTGTACTAAAAGATTGCGATGAGCCACAAGAACGTGATGGGATAGGTGAATTTCTTTGATCTTTCGTGTGCTTTCATCCTGGATTGATTGTTTTTGATATACCTACCAAAATATTTGAGGCGGTTTTATAAAAATCCAAAATATCCGGGTGCTTTAGTTAATTACAGAATTTCTGAGCTATTTTGGTAAATACCGATTCTATTGAATTTTGTAAATACTGAATACAGAGGATATGGGGGTTCATTTGAACAAAATAAATATCTGGAGCGATTTTAAAATTACCCTAAAAATACATTGCAATTTCGTAAATTCATATTACACTGACTTATCTCCGTATACAATATTTACGATGGTGAGTAATCATCGAGCAGAACACAGTCGATTCTCTGGAGATAAACATTTTTCTCTCTGAGGTCATAAGCAACGTTATAGTATTGTTGAGCCATTAGACCAATAGCTGTGAAATCTTTATATTCCCCTCCATGTACCGTCGTTGGCCTCACCGCCATACAAAACACGTTCTGATACACACCCGGTTCGGTCATCGCGTAAAACATGCTGTTAGCCTCCATAGCAAGCTCTGCTCCGCCGGAGAATCGAAACGTCACCACCGGGAAACCTATTAGCTCCTCACTCATTCTTCCATGGTAACACAACAAGTCCCTAAACCAAAACCTCTGTAGCTGCGTATCAAGAATCGATCTTACTTCATTGTGGAGCTCTCTGTAGGCTCTATCTGCTAACCAAGTGTAGAGCGTGCCCGAGTCGAGTATGACTCCGGTTCTTGCACCTCTCCTGGTGAATACAACCGGTTCTATGTTCAGTTGCTTGTCTCCAACACTAATCCCTTCAAGATTCATGTAGTAGATACCATTCTCTATCTTGAACGGTGTTGGATCACCAAGAACATCTGCGTCTTCGCCAAGAACAAGCTGGTTGTAACCGTAGTTCTTGTTAGCTAAGTCACCGATGCAGTAGGAGAATTTAGAACCGAGCTGTAGCGCGAGCGATGTTGGTTGAGCTCCTAAACCCATTATACCGGTGAAGTCACTCTCTGATTGCTCTCCGTTCTCATGGCCGCACCCGAAAGGCACGGGACTGGTCAGGACAGTGTTTCCGTTAGGTGTTGTGAAAGTTAACCGCTCTTTAGCAAGAACGCCTTTAGAGCCACCTCCGTTTATGTAAACTTGCTCGTAGAGGCACTTGTTCGAGGAGGTTCTGCATTGTGCGTTTGGTGCGTGCTTGCAAAAGGGATCGCTGCAAGAACACTCTACGTACGTTGAGGACAATAATGGGTTGTAAGTCTTGTGGTCTGAAGAGTAGTCTTTGCTACAGGGAAGACATTTGATCCATAGAAGCGAGCTTCCTGTGTCCATGATCGTGAACTGTGGTCTCGGAGGCTGTCCTATTGAGAAGTTCACGTAGAACATCGATGTCTTGATCGCTTGTTGCACGTTGACTTGGAAGTCGCTGCTGCTTAGCTCTTTATCGATCAGATGCTTAAACCGAGCTGATGAGGAATCTTGTGGAGTGAGAGGAACTCGAGCCTTTTGAGGCATTGATTCACGGTGTATCAGCTTCATAACCATTCGGTTAGTTTTTTTAACTGATGATTCTGTAACTATGAAGAAGAAGAAGGTGACAATGATGAAGAGTAAGAGTGATGTTTGAGCAAAACATCCCATTGTTTCTTTAGACCTGGGAACTCTAAACAAGAAGAGTCTCCCACAGAGACCATTATGTAACACAAATGAAGAAGATTAAGATAGTGTCATAGCATCAAGGCTGTGATAGGTAGAAGAATATTAAAAGTGCAAAGCATAATCACACCATTAGAAGAAATAATAATAATCAAGAGAACAACCAAAGATCATGAGACTATAAATAAGAAAAGTTAGTTGGGGTTGTATGTATATAATATGCTTTCATGTACTTCGGCATCTTTACTAGTGAGATTTCTTCATCTAACATTTTTTTCTTGTGTTTTTATTATTAGGATGATATAATATATTTGAAGTTTGGACAGACTGAAACTGAAATCTGATAAAAACAAATACAATTAGAGAAGTACAAGTCAAAATTGTTGGTCTGTGAAAATTTGAAAATTATAGATGATGATGGTCAACGTTTGACCAGACATTGCTTTCACAGGACCACAAGATTTGAGACATTTTATGAGAACAAAAATTCTCTGTAATAAATTTTTAATGAGTTTGAGAGAGACAGGGACCAAAACATAATTTGAGAAAATACCTTTCAACAAAAAAGTAATATATACACATCCAAAATAAAAGTAAACATTAGACCCTGAATCTGAAATTTTCATAGAGTTTGATCATCACCATTTACAAGTCTATATTATCTCCAAAAACTTCATCTTTTATCATCAAATCTTTCTTCTCCCTCTTTGTTGAAGATTTATAATTACCTTGGACCAGATAGTTCCATGGCAAATGAGTCCAAAGCCTGATCATCTTCATCATCGAATCCTGAAGATCCAAACAGATGTTTGGTTTGGTTGTTGCCATTAGCATCAGTAGAGGAAATACTTCTGTAAGAGATGTTGGCATGGTAGAAATGTGAATGGTCATGTGAAGCAGCCCATCTCTCAGCTAATCCATCTCCTTCAAGCATCTGTACCACTTCAGACATTTTAGGTCTATGCGCTGGAAGAAACTGAGTGCAGAGCAAAGCCACTTGTAGCATCTCTCCAACTTCTATTCTATCATAGTTTGTTGCAAGTTCTCTATCCACAAGCTCCTCTACTTTCATCTCTTTGTGCAGCTTCCTCACCTGCAAGATCCAAACTTTTCTCTTTCAAAGACATGTTCTTTAGTCAACATTTTTGGTTTAAATCTTTATAGTCATTGCCTTGCTTACCCATTCAAGCATAGCTCCTTTCTGGCTAACGGTTTTGCCAAACTCAAGAGCTCTCATTCCGGTTATGAGCTCAAGCAAGAGTATACCGAACCCAAAGACATCGGTTTTCTCAGATGACTGACCGGTAGAGAGATACTCCGGCGCAATGTGACCAACGGTGCCTCTAACCGCCGTCGTGACATGTGAATCCGCGTGGTTGAGCAGCTTCGCTAGCCCGAAATCTCCGACAACAGCTTCGAAACACTCATCTAGAAGAACATTTGCCGCCTTGACGTCTCGGTGAATGATCTTGGGATCGCATTGCTCGTGTAAATAAAACAATCCTCTCGCTGCTCCTATAGCTATCTTCTTCCTTGTGTTCCAGTCCAACGCTGGTTTAGCTGTAAACAGAGTTAACAAGAATCAGTTAACCGGATTCTCAGTTATAAACCGGTGTCTGCATCGGTTAAGCGTACCTTTAAGCCTAGAGGCGACGCTGCCATTGGACATGTAAGGGTAAACAAGAAGCCTTTCGTTAGAGCTCGCGCAATAACCGATTAGCCGAAGCAGATTCCTGTGAACAGCTAAGCTAATCATCTGAAGCTCTGTACGAAACTGCGAGTTCCCTGAGGCTCCATTCACATCTTTCAGTCGTTTCACTGCAACCATTGTCCCGTCACCAAGCTTTCCTCTGTAGACATTACCGAACCCACCAGCTCCAAGAATGTTCTTGGAACTAAAACCATCCGTAGCTACGTGGAGTTCTCTGAATGTGAAGCTTCTTAGATTCCCCAATCCTAGTAACCCTTCCTCTTGCTTGTCTGCGGAAACAGAGAACAAACCAAAGACTTAGTTTTTTTTACTTATCACAATCATCTTGAAATCAACTTAACATAGAGAAGCAGAAGCTTGAGTTCACTAACCACTTGTGCGAAGGATCATTAGCCTTCTTTGCTTCTTTCGGTACCAAATGAAGCCGAGAGAGAGGATTACACTAACAGCAAATCCAAGACTTACACCAAGCGCAACAGCCAGTATGTTGGTTCTGCGTCCTACAAAAATCCCAAATGGTTTTAAAACTCATGAGAATAGATTCATAAAACCGAAGGAAAAAGCAAGACTCTTGAACCGAACCGAAGATTTTACCGGAAGAGGAGCTTAATGAGACAGAAAGAGGGCTTGGATTGATTGATCCTGAACAAATCTCAGGTGGACCGGTTTTACAAATCAAAGGGTTCCCAGCAACACTAACATTCAACAACAAAATCAGTTTAAAGATTCAATCTTTGAATAGAACAAGAAGTGTGTTGAAATGCTTAAAACAAAGAGGAAACGACTCTTACTTGAATGTCCTTGCAGGAAACTTAGGAACAGGGCCTCTGAGATTGTTATAAGACAGGTCTCTGAACCAAAACATCAAAAATATGAGTAAAGAGGTAAAAAAGGAGAAAACTTTAAACAGATAAATGATGAAATCTGTACATATATATACTCACAAGAAAGAGAGGTGAGGGATTTCAGACAGAGAAGCAGGAAAGGGCCCAGATAATGAGTTGTTGTTCAACCTCCTAATCAAAATCATTACAGAACGTACGAGGTTTAAGAGAACGAGCTTTGATTCAAAAAAAAAACATATCATTTGTATTATCTGAAAGAGAGAAGACTTACAGATATTGTAGGCTACTCAGCTGGTTAACCGAACCGGGGATTTCACCGGAAAACCGGTTATTGGACAAATCCAAAGTCTGTAATTTGGGAAGAGAACAAAGTTCCGGTGGGATTTTGCCGGAGATGTTATTGTTCTGTAGTAACCTGCAAAATCCACACAAAAAAGAAAAAAAAAAAAAACCCATCAGTATAAAACTCGAATAGAGGTTAAAGAAACAAAAACACAAGCAAAGTCCCAATTTTTATTTGGTTTGTTGTGAAGAAACAAACAAAGAAGACGATGTCGTAATCTTACACTTGTCGGAGATTAGTGAGATTTCCGATTGACCCAGACAAAGTTCCAGAAAGAGACTGACTTGGAGCTCCTCTGCAATCGGAGAAGAAGATTTGTCGCCATTAATGTCGTTTACCTCGAAGTTTCTAAAGAAACCAAAACCATATTATAAAAAAAAGTACTTACAGGCCAATTACGAGGTTGTCCGCAGAACAAGTGATCATCGTCCAGCTACAAGGATCAACAGAAAACTCATCCCAGTTGTTCAAAACACCATGAGGATCATGTAAATCGTTCTTTATGTTTATCAAAGCTTCCACTGTAAAACAAACAACCCAAAATCGATTATTTGGGTACAGAAAATTCGAAACATTTAAGAGGAATAAGAAAAATGCAATCTTTTTTTTTTTTACCTTCGGGGTTTCTGGGCTCAGAAGAGAGAGAACAAGTAGAGAAACAGAGTAACAAGAAGGAGACGAAAGAGAAGAGAAAAGAAGGATTTTTCATCGTTATCTTCATAACCACCATGAAAGCTTTAGCTTAGTTTACCAGAAGGAGAAGGAAAGACAAAAACAAAACAGAACAAGCACAAAAAATCATTACTTTGTTGATGTTTTGTGCCCACGAAAACGAAAAAGAGAGAAAGAGAAAGAGAAAGCAAAAGCAACAAAGAAGAAGAAAAATGAATGCTTTTTTTTTCTTTCTTCCTTGGGTCTATTGAAAATTTTCTTTCTCTCTTCTTTGTCTCTCGCACGCACTGAATTATGTATGTGTTGTTATGAATTTAAGGAGATAATCAACACAGAAAAAGTTAAAATTTGTGAAAGAGAAAGCTAAAAAACCAGAAATTTAGAGAGAGAGAGAGAGAGAGAGTGAGTTTTTAGGTTGTGTTGTGGTTTGTGGGGAGGGAGAATCAGGTAGAAAAGCTGATACAGACCCGTATGGTGTGGATGCATACTTTCTCTTTTGAGTTTATTTTTTTTCGGTTTTTATGCCATTTTTGTGAAAACTTGTTATATACACTTTTACTCCAAAAAAAACTTTGTTATACTCATAAATATGGGGGTGGCAAATGGATGGGAAACATAACGGGAAGAACAAAAAAATACAAGTCTTTTTTTTCCCCATTATTATCTGATTTTAGTGATGGGAATAGAATGAGAAGCATCGCGAATCAAAAAAAAAATTATTGTTCTTTGTTTGAACAGGAAAAGGTGAAAATTGAGCAATTTTTTTCAATTCAGAGAATTTTAGAAAATACCATTGTTATCTTCTTTTTTTTGTTTTTTTAAAGGAGAATTAACAATTTATGAAATGCTATAGATTTTCTGATTTTCAAGACAAAATTAATTGCTGGTTTAATGAATTTTTAGATTGAATACGCTACTAATTACTAGAACAAATATTCAAACCGCATTTACAATTTATGAAATATGAATTCGAATCACATACATGAATCAAACAACTAAAAACATAATAATAAATGATAGTCCCACAAAATTAATTAGATTGTTTAGTATGAAAAATTATAATTCCCATATGATTTTCCTTAAGCAGTTCAATAAAATATTTTAGTTATAATACAATTAATTTCAATTTTCTTAACTAAACAAAACAAAATAAAAAGAAAGAACAAAAGAGTCCTAAGACTCTTCAATAAATTAATGTTAAAAATTTATAAAAAAACTTTAACTCAAGATTACATTGGTATTAACTTAAAATTTTGGACACTGGCAAACATATTCTTGTCATCACAATACCCAAAATTACAAGACCATTCAATAATTTGAATAATATATATTTTGTCTGGAGTAAAAAAGTAAAAATAAGAATTGACGTGTGTAGTGTACTGCTACTACCACCACTTGTAACACGGTACTACCAGTGGCAGTAAGTACGAGACTGATTTGCTCTAACATGCACCTCTCTTCCTTTTGTCTTGTTCTTATTTTTCACTATAATTTTGTAATTGTAATATTTGTAAACCCAAATTTTAAATATTCATTGTAATGATAATGATATTATATTTAAATATGCATATGAGAACATATAAAATGAGCAACAAGTAAGAATAAAAAGGCTGGAATAGGGAAAAAGGCTTGCTTTTGCATTGCCTGACGTGGTGTGATATGTGATGTTACATTTTCTCTGACAAGTCCCTCTACTTTTGTTTTCTTTCCTTTCTAATCCATTATTTTGCTATCACTATGGCCCCTTCTTTTTGCCTTTAGTTAATAAATTAGTAACACTATTATAATTTGTCAACAATTTAATACAGTTCTGATTACAGCTTTAAGTTTATCTTATTCTATGATTTTAGTTATCCTTTCTCGTCACATGTGTTACTTTATACTTTTTTAAAGCTAAGTTTTATTACCATTTTTCATTAACATGTAATATTATAAACCAATCGATCATGTATTGTTCATTCATATACAGAAATGAACACGGATGAAGAATAAAACATAACTAGTTGTGGCAGTAAAGTGATTGAGAATTTGTATTCTTGGTCGAAGGCAAAATTCGAAATTCCACTTATTGTTTACATTGTTCATTGAAATGACAAAAGATACAATTTTATATATGCTTTAAAATTAGAGTGAAACTCAATATAGAAATTATCCGCTGATAAGGAATAAAAACTTAAAGTGTGATACAAGTCCATTGTAATTGCCATAAATTTTGTTAATGTGAAGCACATCCACTAAGAATGCATAACACTAATTTCGTAAAATATTGGTTATCTTGGAAAATGAATAAATTATTGTGTAGACATTCTAAATAACACTTACACGCCGTCAGAGATCTTGGAAATATCTTAGTTCATGACTTGTGGCAGTGGAGTCATTACTTTTGAGTGTAAGCAACAGTCAAATTCTATTTAGGGAAAATAAAAAATGAACAATCTATACTGTTAACACAAATGATCTGATCTCATATTAAGAAAGAAAAAAATAAAAGACATGCTAATTGTATACTTATTCTTATTTAACCATGAAATATTCGAAGAAATTCGTCAAGATCTGCTGCCTTTGATTGCATGATCCTAAACTTTACAAATTTTTAGCAATCTTTCTTTTTTTTTGTTAAAACTTTTAGCAATCTTTCTTAAGCTCTAACATGCAAAGACACGGCCAAAATTAACGCTTTCAACTTTAAATGCAGGGTAGGTATTTTCATGTTAACCTGAAAACAAACCATAACTTTTCATGAGCAGTCTATCTAAATTTTCCTCAAACTTTTAGATATCATTTACATGCAAAAAAACAAATAATTCAAAATTTTCAAAAACCAAGTATTTATTTGTTATAGACATTCCGACCAAATGTATATATTATAGTTTGATTTTTGCTAAGCTACGAAAGGAAAATTAAAATTTTAATTTAGACGGGCCAAATGCCAATTTTGGGAGATGAAGATGAGGTCACCAGCAAGATGCTTTGCAACCAATCTCCCTATTTTCCTTCTCACGCATTTTCAGTGATCATTACGCAATGCTTATTTGTCCTTTTCCCTATTTTTGTTGCTTAGTTTTTTTCCCCTATATATTTCCAAAGTAAGTGTAGTAAAAACAAAAAAACTTTTAGAATATGGATATAATTTGGTAACAGAAATATAACTTTTTTGTTACCTAGTGTATATATGTGCAGATGAACATACATAAATGTTTTCGTGAACAAAAACAAATAGTTGTTATTCTTGAATCAAGAAAACCCAATCTAAATCAATTCATTATGGCTTGATGGTTAGCCATATCAAAATTGTTTTTTATTCTGACTGTAACACCTTTAAAAACAAGAAATATTTTTACAAAAGATTAATTTAATTTTAATTTGAGATTTTCTGATGGTAAGAAAAAGTTTTTATCTAAGATAAATTAGTTATTGTATTATATAGGGAAACGTTCTTGATGAACTTTTTTACTATCAACTCTTATCAATCAAAACCACAGTTTGTCACAATATTGAAGAAGATTGGTTTTTAATCCTATAACTTAAAAACCATTATTTAGAAGCAGAATCATATTGCTCAATAATTTGCGCCACATAATTTTAAAGTGTCCGAATTAGAACGTTGATATTTACCTTTACGGAAAAGTTGATGTTTGCCTCTTTTTTTTATAGCATGCTGAAATTATTTTTCGAACCAGTTAAAAAAGAATAAAAATATATAATATATATCATGTGGGACAATATTCTCCCAAACACAAATTAAACCAATGATATATGCTTCAAATTCTTGTGCTACACATTTATATCATATTGTGTTCGTCCGCCGAACTTGTTCTTTCTGCTTTTCATTGAATAAATACTCTTCTTCTGCAAAAACCGATGAAAAGAAAAATCGAATCTAGCACATTCGAAGTTAATGGGAAACAACACTTTAATTCGATCCATTATTCGATCATCATTAGTACTATCAGTTATACGAAAACATATATGTTTTCTTCGCTATTTATGTATAGTAAATACTAAATACAGAATTATCGACTTGTATTTATAAAATTATCTGCTTTATAAATATAGAATTATCGACTTATATTTATAAAATTATATGAGTTGTTTATGAAAAAAAAATTTATATAATCATAAGATCATAACAACATGCCAACATACCCAGAGCCGTGCCTATAGACAAATAAAAAAACTTTGGTGTAGGGCAACAATTTTTTTTTTTAATTATAGGGCAGCAGTTTTTTTAAAAATAATATTTTTATTATAGTATATTAATTTCAAATGTGGATATGAACCTATATATGGATTTATAAAACGGAAAGTAACAATAAATCAATTGTTATTGAATTATTATTAAAGAATTAAGGTAAAAAAAGTAAGTTATGTAATTTTTTTCTTTTTTCTATTTCTGCATTTAGCATTGAGAAATGTATTAATACAAAATTTCAATGTTTCTCCAAAAATTATTTATAATTAAGATAAAATTATTCATTTTTACTTTCTTTTTTTTATATAATTATTTTGTTCTTTCTCTAAATAATTTTTATTTATGATTGGTAAATGAAAAGTTTCATTAATGATTTTGTGAAAAAGAAAGTAAAAATAAAATCTTAGAATTATAATTTAGTATAGTTTCATTTTATTGTTTTTATATATAATAATTATATTTATTATTATAAAAAGTTTATAAATGAGGACATATTTTTTTCATTTGCTTATATAAGTTATTAAAGTTGGCACGGCTCTAAACATACCAACTATTCTCATATAGGCGAATGATAAAATGACCGAAAATTTAAGTTCATATATGTTACGGATATATTTGGTCATAAGATCATAACAACATATAGAGATTTAGCACAATGGTTAATAAATTATCACTATTCATGCGCGATAAACCAAAACATACAAAAACATGTTTTAGTGATGTTTATTAAACATGTATTAGTGGCATATGCGGCGTACATTCCTAGTAGTGGCTGGCCACATCATGCACTGAAGTGCATCCATCATAGAGAATATTAGTAAGTGAGACTCAAAGCAGCAGCCATATTGGACATCATATAATGATGATATATAATTATACACAACACAAATCCGAGATATGACTTTTTTTTGTTCCAATTTTTTGTTCCAACAACAATGTATTATACGGATTTGAATTTTGGATAGCTAGTATCGACGATAGTAATACAAACAATGATATTATATGTCATGGTTTTAAAAAATTTATGTGGTGTTTACATTAGGTTTTTATTTATTTTGAACATTTATTTACATTAGGTTTCAATAGAGAAATCGTATTTGAATAAGAATTGATCTTAGAAATTAAATATAGTCTGGAGCAAAGAGTAAACAAATCGTCTAGACATTTTTTTGTTAAATAGTAACTACTTAATGACGGATCAACAAAAATACAGGAAGACGT